GTCCTAGCTACTTGGGAGGCTGAGGCAAGAGAATCGCTTGAGCCCAAGAGTTGGAGGTAGCTGTGAGCTATGACACCAGGGCAGTCTACTGAGGGCAACAAGATGACACTGTCTCAAAAAAAAATAATAAAAAAAAAGAAAAGAAAAAGTAAGAAATCCAAATGTGATTGGACATCCTGCATTTTGTCTGGTAATTCTAGATCAAGGAATCCAGCCCACGGTCTCTTAGCCAAGCCACACACCTTGGGGGGCGTTGGAGCCTCCGGGAGAAAAAGGCTCATTTTCTTGCGGTCCCGCATGGGCCTGAGCCTCATGTTGATGACTTCCTACCATGCACACCTGGAGTTTCCTGCACGGGCCTTCTGTGTGAAAGCTAGGAGGCTCTGGGAGGCTGGTCCTTATTCATCCTCATTTCACAGATGAAAAAACTGAGGCCCAGAGAAGAGAATGTATCTGTCTAGTTCCCACAAGAAAGGAAGAGAAGACTTGAAGCCCAGGTTCGTCTAGGCCAGACTCACCCCAGGAAAAAGAGCTGGAATTCAGAGCTCAAGGGATGGTTGGAAATAATCAGACTTCAGCTCACCCAGCAAGAAATAAAGCCTAGAGACTTCAGGCTGCGTTGCTATCTTCTATCATCATCAGCTTGGCTCTGCTGAAGCCCTGTCATGAGCTGCCTCTGTAGCCCAGTGGCTAAGGAATCTTAGAGACCAAAGACATAACAATGGGTATGGCCTGCAAGCAATGTATTGCCCGGCTCCACTGGAAAAGCTCTCCTTGCACTATATTCAGTGTCCTGAAGTGTGGATTGTGGCCCCCATTTTATAGAGGAGGAAACTGAGGCAAGCAAAAGCTGCTGTCACATGAGGTAGCGCCTGGGCTTTAACCTGGTTCAGTGCAGGTCAAACAACCTTCTACCTTCTGTTGGGCCAGGTGCTACGTCAGTGGAAGGAGGGAGACCTACAGGGGCAGCCATGGCCTTTGATTGCCACTGTCACCTGTGCCCTTTTCTCTGAAGTTGCTGCCAAGGGGCGTGGGGAGTTGGACAGGGGAGGGCTTGCTCAGCACAGATTCCCCTCCCCTGGTCTGGAAAGCTGAGCACAGAGGGACAGAGGGACAGAGCCCCCAGAAATGTCGCTCCTTAGATGCAGGTTCCAGGCCCTGCCCTCCCTCTGCTTCTGCGTTCTGGTCCTGGCCTGTATTGTGGGTGAGGAGAAGAGGGTGGGCTGATGTGGGGACTCACACCGGGTGGGGTGTGATGTGGCTATGTGTCAGGTGGGGTGTAGCATTTGTGCTTTGTGGCATGCATCTCTGTGTGCATGTTAGCGACTATGTGTCGGTGGCTGAGTGTGAAGTGTGAATGTGAGGTCGGTAGCGTGTGTGTGTGTGCAAGCAGAAAGTTATGCAGTGTGGCAAACATGTCTGTGATTGTGTGTGTGTATGTTTGTAGGCACGTGTCTCTCTATGGGGAACATGTACATAAAGGTTTTGAGCATGTGGACATGTGTGAGGGGGTCTATGAGTGCCTTTATGTTTTACACATGTATTTGCATTTATATTTTTATTTTTATTATTATTATTTTTTTTGAGACGGAGCCTCAAGCTATCCCCCTGGGTAGAGTGCCATGGTATCACGCTCACAGCAACCTCCAACTCCTAGGCTCAAGCGAGTCTCCTGCCTCAGCCTCCCAAGTAGCTGGGAC